AGGCGGTGTCCGGCTCCGCGCCTCTGTGTGGCCGGGGCCAGGGTGCGCGCACACGTGGTTCTGAGCCGGCTAGCTTGGGTGGGCGTGGGTCTAAAAGGCAGGGCTTGGCAGGGGGGAAAATGCTCCCGTTCCTTGGCAGAACCCAATCTCAGGGTCGTTTCTGAAGGCTCTTGTAAGTAGGACTTTGTCTCTTTTTACTGAGAATTGGGAACATAAAAGTAATTTTTGTAGATGATGATAATAAACCAGGAGCGTTGGTCAAATAGTACCACTTCCTCTGATGAAATCAAAACTTGGGAGACTCCAGACTTGTGACTAGGCAGGCAGTCATGGTTGTTTGGAGGTGGGTTTATAAGAAAATGAGACTTGGTATCTCCTAGCCAGCAAAAGTAGAAGTTACACAATCAAGCTTTCTTATTCCATGCTATTTTGTTTACTTTAGGAATCTCTGATAACTTTAAAGTTACAATGTGAAACCTTTGATTTTAACATGAAACGAAGCAGAGCATTGGCTCAGAATTGCTTATTGTATATTTTTATGGTTTAGTAGGAAGTACTACTCTTTTCAGCTTTATACTGTGGTGAAGGGCTCTTGACTCAACTTCTACTAATAGCGTTAGTCACGTGACCGCTCATGTGACGTGCTACATAAGTTTAATCGAGTTTCTAATCATTCTTTTTTAAAGCATGCTTTTCAGAGAAAGCTTGCTGAGTAGTGGAGGTTTTGCTCCAAAACTGGTATACATGCACACAACTTCTGTGAGCAGTTTCCATGTATTCACGGTTCTCAGAGAGGAATTCCAGGTCTATGGGACATAGCGACTATGAAGAAACTGGTAGGGCAAATGTGCTAAGCAATAAAAGGCACCAGCATAGACTTCCCACATTTGATCACAGATTCTTTATGCAAACCGTCCTTAACAACATCTAGTGAACTGATGTAAGGGGACGCTGACCCCAAATGCCCATTCAAATTCAGTCCCATACTTCTCAAACTTCAAGATGCCTCATCAATTTTATAAGGACAATGGATCTATTATTTTAAAAAATCACTTAGATTTTTAAAATAGAGGTTTTTGTGACTCATTCCACGATAGAGTCACGCTGAGTCATTCTAACCTCACAACAAGGTTGATTTTTGACTCGAGGTAGATTGGAATCAGGGCAAGGCCACTGCTGCTTCCAAGCAGGACTGAAGGGTTGGCCCTAACAAGCCTTGGATGCAACAATCTATTTCAGGGTCATATGACAGGACTCTAGAGAATTCCACTCTTTAATATGAAGACTCAGACCTTCAGGAGTTTCACCCTTAGTAACCTGTGCTTCTTGCAGAATTAGTCCCAGGATAAAAACAACGAACTTGCACTGAATAACTTATTTCTCACTAAAATGATATGGTCATTGCCTATTCATCCAGATAGGAGACCTACATAGGTATCCCATTAGATAAAACCGAAAAGTGCTGGAACAACCAACCAAAGTGCTAGAACATTGAAATACTGCCCATTGCCTGAGAAGAAACCACTTCTCCCATGAATACAGCCCCTTAGTGTGACTCTGAGCAGACATTGAGTATTATCTTGTCTGCTCCACAGTTATTAATTTTAAGGCAGGTACTCAAGTAATCCAGACTTGCCTGGAATTCATTATGTATCCAAAAATGATCTTGTCCCCCATCCCAAGTATTGGGATAATAGGATTATGTTACTACAAATTCTTTATACTGTCTTGGACTCACTGACCAGTCACCTCCATAGATTTTTATTTAAGTTCATTATGATATCCCCATGTATCCTTAGTCAGAAATTATGTTACAGTACAATGAATTGGGACAAAGTGATCTACTATCTAGAAACTGCCAGTTCTGTTAGAATAGCGATGGCTGAGTCAATGTGATTTTGATATTTCCAGAAGCATAAATATACTGTCTACATGGGAATGATCAGAGCTATTTCTCTGTGATACAAAAAATAAACAGGTCATCTACAACAATTTCTAGCACAACATCTAGGAAGTTTGGCACACTAGTTTTTGATGTCATAAATAAATCAACATATTATTTCCTGTGTGAAATTATTAATTAACCTCGAGTCTTGCATTGTACCTTTGGTTATTTCTCAACTTGCAAAAGATGTGTGAACGTACAAAAAATGGGATCCACAGATCTAGTACTAGACTCTAATACAGACTATGACAGATATAAGAAAACATGACAGGAGTTTTAGAAAGACGTTGAAAATAAGTTAAATTTTACATCTGTAAAGCTCCCCACCTCAGGAATGTGAGAATCCAACATGCTCATTTTTGAGAATAACCCAGCGTGTCACCTTTTAGATTTCACAAACACACTGAGCTCCTGAGGCTTGATGAAATCGCAGGGAATTTCAAGGGACTTTTGTCAATGAATAAATCCCACACCCTGTCCTACCATTCTTGTCAAATGCAACCCGTAGGAAATCTCCTGCCCACCAATGAGGGATTCACTTTAAGACTGAATGAGTTGATTCTCACGAGTTCTTATTATCTTCAAACTGGTTTTAGTTAACACAAACTAAAAACATTTGCCATTTTGTACGCTGATTGGATGTTAACAAAATAAGACTTGAACAAATACTAGACTAGAAGTCTAGCCAGCCCAATTTAGAGGACTTGCAGGCTATTGCTACTTTTCAATACCCTTTAAAGAACGTATAAAAATTTTTCATCAACTTCCCATTGGACCCAGTCAGTTTTACCATAACTAAAGACAAGGTGTGAAATACTGTGTATGGGGAGAGGTGAAGTGGTTGAAAAAAAAATTCAAGAAGTCTTTATGATGACGTTTTTTTAATTAATCTTTTTCTGCTGTGTGTGTGTGTGTGTGTGTGTGTGTGTGTGTGTGTGTGTGTGTGACTGAGTCCAATGGTTTTGCAATAGTTTTGAGTCCCAGCAGTACTTTCCCTACAATTTTCCCTGTGTTCGGTCACTTGGCTTCTTGCTGAGTTTTCTTTACATTGGCCATTAATCAAGAATTGCCCGGAGCTCCACCCAACCTTATGCTGGTTTCTGTTTCCTTCTGCCAGGATTCCTGCTGGTTCTGTATCTGCTGGGAAAAGTCAGTTTCCTCAATCCAAGTATCTTCAGTTCCCGCGGAGTTTTAAGGAACCAGAGCTAAGTTTTAAGAAGGAGCTTAGCAAGTTCTCTTTTCTTCCTCAGCAATGGTCTAGGCTCTTGTTGTTTCAGAGGTTACTCTTGAACCACATCTAATAGACTTTCACTAGTTCTCATACACATTAGATCTCCTGTCTGTCATTCTGCTACTTCCTGAAATATGTCTGCACTCTCCTTGGTTTCTGTGATCTCTTAGTGTTTTCTCTACAAACCTTACAAGTTTTTATTCTGCGTACCAACTGTGATCATTTAAATACATTCTTGAATCATTCTAATCCCCATCAACCATCACATCCTTAGTTATTTAGCATCTGTTCCTCAGGCTCAGAGTTTTGATGAAATCGATCCCCAAAGCCACCTTGCCGCATTTCTTATCTTTGCTCAAACTGTGTGACTTTGATAGGAAAAAAAAGAACTTGTACAAAATTAGGTGCTTCAAAACACATGCTGTGCATTGGTGGCCCATGCTATTAATCCCAGCCCTTACAAGGCAGAGGCAGAGGTAGGTGGATATCAGAGTTCATGGCCACCCAGTCCTATATAGTGAGTTCCAGGACAGCCAGGGCTACACAGAGAAACCCTATCTCGAAAACAAGCAAACAAACAAACAAAAAACAAAAACAAACTCGTTTCTTTCTTATACTATCTTTCTAAATCTTTTTTCTCAATCGTTATTCCTGAGATGAAGCTTTTTCAAATCACACTGGATTTTAAAAACTTAGAATCAAAGTCATGCAAAATGATTGCTAATTTTTTGCACAGATAACTCACTGAAATAATATTTTAAATATACTGAACTACATATAGATATGACTAGAATTAATTTAACTTACTTCTTTGTGTTCTTTTCCAGTGTGGTCTACCTTACTGTGGGTAGTACTCACTTGCCAATCAGCAAGTCTACTCTGGATTAGACACTATAAAATATTTTAAAAGAAATTTAAAGAATAATAAATAGTAACCCTCCTTCAGGTCTCATGACCCATTGAGTTGATAAAGCATTGAGAATCAATTTAAGATACAAGTAGTGGACCTAAAGAACACAAGAAAAGAGTGGCTCAATTAGATTCTACTGTAATGTGGAAGATTAGAGGAGGAAGTTGTCAGGAATGCTTTTCTGAAGAAATAGATTTCAGAAGATCATAAAGGATAGATAACACTTTTTTCTGTATCTATGGGAGAAAGAGAAAGGGATTCTGGGATGGAGGAGGTAGGGAAACATTGAGTAGGCTTGGGCTAAGATGTATAAACCAAAACAATGAAGGTGAATGCTGTGTGTTGTTTTAGACTGGGTCTACACATCTCCATTGCCTCTATAAATACAGGCAGATCCACATTTTGTCCCATTGCTTTTTCCTTTCTTAACTACATTGAGAACCTGAATAGATAAGAGATACTTATCCTGTGAGCCAAAGCTTTTCCCTCCTCATCTTCGGACCTTCTGTTCTAATGTGTGCCCCAAATGTATGTTGACAAGGTACTGCATGCTCTCACTAAGTCTTTGGATCAAGAGGCTAACCACTGAGATGACTGAACTAAGTGTTTTAAGTAACCACTTACCTAGATTCACCATTTGGTGTCTGTGTGTGTGTGTGTGTGTGTGTGTGTGTGTTCTTCAATTTTAGCACCCAAAATCCATTCTCTAGAAAGCTTCTCAGTCCCGGGGAAACATGGATGGATGAATTCCTTACTCAACTTTGTCATGTTTCAAGCTGGCTTTGGTTTTCATTTCTAGTCACCCCCTCATGCCTCTGATGACCATGGCAGAGAAAATAAAACTGTGTTAAAAGGAAGATAATGGATTTAGTTCAACATATCAGCACTGGCTTCATATTCTTTTTCCCAGCCTTATTTTATTTTTTCAACTACTGTACATTGCAGGGCATCTGTCATGACCCCATAGTAAGGGGCATCTGTTGGGGTCCCACGTTGGGGTGACATCCGTTGGGATCCAGTCTCAACAGGGTTCACACATTTCAGGGTAGGAGCATGAAGAGGGACACTAAAAAGAAATCCCACACT